TGTCACAGCTTCGTCATTTGTTAGTATGCGCAACTCTGTTGAACAGCCCATAATTGGTGCTTTGTAGGCCTGTCCTAGTTGCGTTGCGTAAGGGCGGGATCATCGGGTTGCTTTGTTGGTTGGTCGAGTCGTCCTGGTGTCAGAGTGACCTGCTTCGCATGTATTTTACTGTGTACATTTGTGGTAATCTAGTAACTCTATGCAAAACCCGACCCGAACCCTCCGAGGCAACCCCGACATGCCTAAAAAAGAGGGGTACATATCACGCTCCAAGATATTTGCTCAAATTGTTTCCTTTGCCCCGTTAGTGCAATTCTCGTGTGCTTGATCCATCTCATTTATAAGGAGAGGGCCTTCATGTCAGGGGAACTATCTATTTGGGGCTGAAGACTTGCAGAAGGACGAGCAAACAAGGGCAGGGATAGTCTCGACCCTTTGATATAACACCGGAGATGCCTAAACAGCTAGGTCGACAAACCGAACCGTGAATAGGAGGAATTGATATAAGCCCCAGATTGGATATGATCACCGCCTTTTACTACGCGCGCGTCGTATTCTTGTGGGAGTCAAATGCATTGTGAGTAAAACTATATATATTGTTTTATATTGATGAGATAGCACACTCTCAGGCGTTAGAACAGCGGAATGGTGATACAAATGGGAACTCTAAAGGTTTTCCCTCTACAACATGCCTCACTACAGCCTACAACATAAATACATAGTTGGACACACCCCCATAAGCTAAGTGAAGGATGGCAAGAGAGAGCAAGCAACACAGATGGTCACAAGACCTATCAAGATAAACAACAACACAAAGCTCAGGGTGGATCACGAAGTCACCACACAATCTGAGCACAAGCAAGGGGCCACAAGGCCAGTTCAAGAGTTCACAAATATAGAGAAATGCAAGTACAAGCAGAGCAAGGAACAAGATGCACGACCACAACAAACGAGGGCCTGCCTCAATAAGGGCCTAGCTGCAGACAGAACCTGTGGTGGTCACCAGGCGGAAGGGCCTTGGTGAAAACGTCTGAAGTGTTGGCCCCTGAGGCCACAAAGTCCAGGTGTGCCTGTCCGCGTCGCTGCAACTCTCGTAGGAGGAAGTACCTCGCATCAATGTGCTTCACTCTGCTCCCTAGTCGAGGCTCTCGACACAGGAGGATCATGGCCTTGTTGTCAGCGAAAAGGGTCGGTGCAGAGCTCGGCCGCTCACCAAGGCCGGTGAGCAAGAAGGACAACCAGCGAAGCTTCTGCGCAGCCATGGCACCCGCGTAGATCTCTCCATTTGCGCTGGACGAAGCCACAGACGATGACCGTGTAGACCTCCACGCCAGCGCCCAAACTGAAACAGTACCCCTGAGTCGACCTCTGAGTCTCCACGTCGTCGGCGTAAGAAGAGTCGCAGTGACTGGTCAGCACAACTGGATGTGTCCCTCCAAGCACAAGCCCCATGCCTGATGTACTCGCCAGGTACTTTGCCACCCTCACAGCAGCCGTCCAGATAACAGGACGGTGTCTCCTAGTCGCAACAATGCGAGAGAGGACGCTGAGGGGAAAGGCGAGGTCCGGTCGAGTACAAGTCATCAGGTACATGGTGCAGCCCACAAGCTCTGCGTAGGGACCACTGGACTCAAAGGGCTCGTCGGGAAAAGGGCCAGGGAGTCTATGGTCAACAGCAAGAGGAGTGGGCTGGGTGGTGGAGAAATGAAACCTGAAACACGGAAGGACATGCTCCACCATGTGTGACTGAGTCAGAGTGATTGTGCAAGCGGCTCTGCCCCTGATGATCTGCAAGCCAAGGTAGTGGCGTATTTCATCCAGGTCAGTGCACGTGTGTCTCTTCTACAGTTCGGACTTCACCTAGGCCAGAGCAACCGTGTCAGCCGTAGCGAAGACCAAGTCGTCGACGTAGACAAGAACAAAGAACGGAGTGGAACCTCTGCGAACAAACAGCGACGGGTCGGCGTACGAAGGACGGAACTCAAGGTCAGCAAGAGTAGTGCTTAGCGTGTCGTGCCACTCACGGGGCGCCTCGCAGAGACCGTAGATTGGTCGCCTTAGGCTCCACTGGGTCCCAGGCGGGATAGTGCAAGTGAAGCCAGTAGGACGTTGCAGCCAGAATTCCTCGTGCAGGCGGCCCTGGAGAAAGCTAGTGGAGGAATTCGAGGGAGTGCAGCTCGTAGTCTATCTGTGCTGCAACGTGTAGTAACACCCGAAGACTAGACATCTTCAGGGTCAGGGCGAAGGTTTGGAAGAAGTCAACTCCCTCACGCTGACTGAAACCTCTAGCCACGTAACGTGCCTTGAAGACAGGTGGTGATCCAGGAAGTCGCTTCACCTTGAAGATCCACATGCCATCGACTACGTTCGCCCCAAGCGGGGGAAATGCGTCGACGTACGTGCCTGTGAACCTCCAAGACGCCATCTCTGAGTCCATAGCTGCTATCCACTGAGAGGCCCACTGCCCTGACACTGCCCCACGGTACGTGCAAGGAGTCGATATGTCAAGGGCGTCGGGGTCTCCCTCAGGGGGGCATGGTACAGAGGTGGGGAGAAGCGGCTGCCAATAACTCAAGCTCAAAATGTCTGCCTTCTAGGACGTCTCAGCCAAGGGAAGACTCACCCCCGGCGGACAGAGGACGGGCAACCACCACGCGGGTGGCGTTTTCAAGGCGGCGAGTGGTGGCAAAGTCACGGACAGCGGCAACAAGAGCCGGGACATACGACGGAGAGGCACGAGGGTCCGTAATAAGAGCGACAAGAACACGTGTGAGAACAGGATGAGCAGCACTGTAGTTGTCAGTGATATGGTGAGGAGACAGTAAGAGCCGACTCGGGAGGTGACGGGATTTCTACACGCGGAGAACGACAACATTTCTGATTTCTACAGATTTCTACGGATTTCTACAGGCGGAGAACGATGAGGACTAGAACAAAGGAGGACAGTGCGGAGGTCGGCAACAGGAGACGAGGGACGAGCATGCGAGGGGGGACAACGGGTCCAGGGGTGAGGGACAACAGGAGAAGTGGGCTGTGAACGAGGAGGAGAGAGACCAACCGGGGAGGAGTCCGGAGGAGGAAGACTGTGAGCAGGAGGAGGCGGTGAGTGGTCTGGAGAGGAGGAAGGGAGACCAAGGGCCCGAAGGCCACTCACAGGTGGGAACAGCTGCTGCAAAAGTGACTGCTGGGACTGCTGCGGCTGCGGCTGCTGCTGTTGCTGTTGCGGTTGTTGCTGTTGCTGCTCCTGCTGCTGCAACTCCTGCTGCCGCCTCTCCAGCTCCAGCCTCTCCAGCTCCAACCCCAACCTCTCCTCACGCTCGAGGCGAACAAGTCCTGAAAACGTGTCGGGTAGCAGTGGGGAGGTGGAGTAGGTGCCTCCATCTCCAGTCCCCTCAGAACGAGCCCCCCCCTAGTGCCGGTACCACCAGCTCCAGCACCCCCAGAAACAGCACCTCCAGTGCCAGTACCCTGAGCTACAGCGCCTCCAACACAACACCCCCAGAGTCCACTGCAACCTGTCGCGGTGTTGCTGAATGCCGATACGGTGACTATGAGGATGACTGTGGGGAAGGGGGCGGTACATGACGTGCTACCGAAGGGAGAGGGGTAGCGTGGGACACACATGATGGGGCAGGACCAGAGGGGGTAGGGTGTATCGAAGGAGCGGGAGCAGGAGGAGGAGCGGGGGCGAGGAAAAGGGGAGAGGGAGAACCGGGAGACCTCGACAGGGGTAGAAGGCGTAATAGGACACAGACTCGTCAAAGGTGACGTCACGGGAGTCGAGAAACCGGTGGAGGGGCGGGTGGTAGAACGCGAAATCAGGGGCGTCCACCGGGAAACCAAGGAAGACACAGGGAAGGGCGCGAGCCGAGAGCTTCTCCGCATAGGTGTCGCGGACAAGTGCAAGGCAGCCCCAGACACGAAACTCCGACGCAACACCAGGGGACCCGGTCCAAAGACTGGTCGGTGAAGCCCCTGGCCATGAGACACGAGTTCAGAGGTTCAGCTGGTGGGCGGTGTAGCGAACCGCGTAGGGCCACAGAAATTGGGACGCACGGGCATGGATCATGGAGGTGCGGGCGATCTCCATGACCAAGCCTATGCGGTGCTCAGAAACCCCATTCTGCTGTGGGGACCCCGGAAACGTCTAGGACTGGGTGATGCCCTGCTCACTGCAGAATCCGCAAAGAATGCCGGAGCGAAACTCACCCCCACGGTCGGAGTGGAGACAGTGACGGACACGACAATCACGAGTGGCCTCAGTGGCCAGTAACCACCTTATCAGGGTAGAAGTCACGTCGGGCTCAGAGAGAGGGTGCCAGCACGACCTGGACAAAACGTGCCACACGACAACAGGTGCAAGAAACCCTCGCACCGCACACTGCCAGCATTGCTATGCTGCAACCCTGTGATTGGTCAACCCATGCAATGATGAGAAACTGGGCAACGATCGTTCCACGCGCGCCAAATTCAACAGCCCACCAGGTGTAAAACGCGGGTATATTTTGTCTCGTTCTCACCGCCAGGTGGTGCTGGCGGTGAGTACCAGACGATTTTTTTTCCAAACACCGCGGGAATCTGATATTCCCTATACTTCTGGGCACCTACACTCGGCACGTGTAGGAACCGCATTCAGGGTCAGTTTCGTTACAACGTAAAGTGATCAGTGTCTTTTCGAAAAAAAAAAACCTGAAAGATCAGAGTCATCTAGCACCTAAAGGCTGAAAAATCAGCCCCTTAAAAAACTGAACACTGAAAAATCAGGATAGGTACAAAAAAATCCCTGAAAATCAGGAATTTCAGGGAAAAATTCCTGATAACGTAGGGCCTGCTGACAAGCGGTATTAAATAAATTCGTAACAAAAAACATTCTGCTCCTCACTCCATTCGGCTCAACGCTGAAGCTCTTACAGCCTCCCCACCCCACGATTCGTAACCCAAGGCGATTGCCATCCTGGTGTTTCAAAGTCTTTCCTCGATTCCTTCCTGGCATGGCTTTGTCAACTCCCTTGGACCGTCGATTCTCTTGTGCTTTCTCCTCCGGCAGGTGATGTCAGATGTGTGATGGGCCCTCCTTTCCCTCTCCTCAACACCCCTGCTGCTGGTTGTGCTGCTGCAGACGTCAGTGCAGCAGAAGCATGCACGAGTGGACCCTGAGTTGCCTCTGGCGGCGGAGCAGCAGAGGGGGTGAGAGCGAGTTTGAAGGCCTGGTACTCGAGGTCGTTAGGCAGCCCTAGGCGCTTGCAGAAAGCCTCGTCTGTGGGGGTCAGGAGGCTCAGCAGGAACGCCGTGGTTGGCAGCGACGCTTGGGGTGGGGGAAGCGTAGTGGAGGGCACTGAGGTGGGCCGGGCGGATGAGAGGAAGGCGAAGGGATGGGCAGGTTGGGCTGGGAGAGGGGAGGTCGGTGGTGACTTGAGAGACGTGTCTGCAGGCAGTGGCATCGCGGAAAGGGAGGTGGGAGTGGCAGGAGATGAGGAGGTGGCAGCACGGGGCGAGGCGGGAGGGTCGTTAGCTGATGGCGGGGCCAGAAGAGACGGAGCAAGAGGGTTGGTGGCAGGTGACGAGGGGGCTCGGCAGCGCAGGTAGAAGAGGTGACGCGGGCGGATGCGGGCATGCAGGGAGAGGGAGAAGTAGGCCGGGAAGGAGACAATGGAGTTGGGGGAGCCGCCGAGATGGTGGATGAGGTAGTCGTACTTGGGCGCCAGGCAGTTGGGCACTGACAGCGAGAGGATCTGATGGAGAGGGGAGGGCGGCGTGGGGAGGAGATATAAGGAACGAGAAGAGTGGAGAAAACGATGAAAAAAGGCGTCTAAAGAGAGTGGGAAGCAGATGGGGAGTGGCACAAGTTGTGGTGAAGGAGACAAAGGAGCAGCCGCAAGTAGGCCTGATGGGGGGCAGGGGGAAGAGCACACCTGGGGTAGGCGGAAGAGCACACCTGGGGCAGGGGGAAGAGCACACCTGGGGCAGGCGGAAGAGCACATATGGGGCAGGCGGAAGAGCACACCTGGGGCAGGCGGAAGAGCACACCTGGGGCAGGCGGAAGAGCACACCTGGGGCAGGCGGAAGAGCACACCTGGGGCAGGCGGAAGAGCACACCTGGGGCAGGCGGAAGAGCACACCTGGGGCAGGCGGAAGAGCACACCTGGGGCAGGCGGAAGAGCACACCTGGGGCAGGCGGAAGAGCACGTGTGCGACATCCCGGCTGGAGAGGCCGATGGCTCTGAGGAAGGCCACCCGCCGGCGCACCGCGTCCTCCAATGAATAGTGCAGCAGCTGTGGGTGGCTTTTGGCGTGGAGGGGGGGGGGGGGAGGGGGACATGCCGAGCATGGTGCGATGCACGGTGAGATGCACGACAATGAGAAGCAGGGGTGGGTGTGAGCGTGTGAAAGAAAGAGGGGCAAAAGAGAAGGAGGTGAAAGAGAGAGAGCAAAGAAGGGATGGCACTGACCGCACGACCATGGAGGCGAGGGAGGGCAGGGGCAGCGCGAGGTGGTGCAGGAAGTAGTGCAGGCGCGGCACGAGGCCGCCCTGCACGCTCTGAGTGAGCACCTGTGGGCTGCGCAGCACCACCTTCACCACGTCCTCGTCGCTCAGCTGCAGCGCGCTCTGTGGGGCGCCGTAAGGGAAGGGACAGAGACGTGGGGTGAGAGAAAAAGAGCAAGCTCAGCACCACTACCTTCAATTCTCCTAAACTTGCATGTAATTGTACAGCAGGGGTTTACCCTATCTTGGGTGTAGTTCAAACTCTGGACAAATGATTTGGCACCCCAATACCCATTGTTCTTCTGAACCATAGTATTGCTCACCAATAAACGCCTCTCACCCAACTTATTGGGAGAAGCCCAACCCAACTGATTTTAACCGGCCTTTTGAGCTAACTCACCGTCCCCCCTCTTCTCCTTTCCCAACACACATGTAGTCGCTGCATCTCTACAGAATTTGGCTCACACCTTTATGCTTGAAACTCTCAACCTTCTAAAATTTGTGCCGCCATAGGTCCGCCTGAAGCAACCATCTCGGAATGAGCCCCATGAACATCTTGCCCTCCCATTTGGCAATGGGCTTGAATGGGCCACCACCCAATATGGGCCACCACCCAATATGGGCCACCACCCGATATGGGCCACCACCCAATATGGGCCACCACCCGATATGGGCCACCACCCGATATGGGCCACCACCCAATATGGGCCACCACCCAATATGGGCCACCACCCAATATGGGCCACCACCCAATATGGGCCACCACCCAATATGGGCCACCACCCAATATGGGCCACCACCCAATATGGGCCACCACCCAATATGGGCCACCACCCAATATGGGCCACCACCCAATATGGGCCACCACCCAAGACAGGACATCCGTGGGACATCCGTCTATCCACAGCTGTGTGCATGGAGAAGGTTTTTGAGGGGCGTGATATGTGATGAGTCAAGTCTGTCATGTCCCCGCCTGCTGCACCCTCATGCAGCATGGATAATGGATTACCAACAACAGCACTCTCCCATGAGTGGGCAACCTTGCTCTCCTACGTGAATTATTTGCACACTACAAGCACCAAGCAACGGAGGAGAGTGGTTGAGTGGGTGAACGAAGGAGCAACGATGCACTGTTGGGTTGCGGTGAGAGGCATGCAGACAGGCACCCAACACGGAGGTCAGCACGATGCAGCGAGAGCGATGCCGTGGGCAGGTCGATTCAAGCATGGTGAGTGAGTGAGACGGGGGGCAAGGCGGGGGGCGAGCGGCGGAGGGTGAAAGGCGGAGCGGCACCTGGAGGAAGCGGACGCGCGGGCGGAGGGCGCGGTCCACACTGCACTCGAAGATGCCGGGGGCCAGCTGGATCACCCGCGCCACGCGGTCAGCGGGCACGCCCAGCGCCAGTAGGAAGTCGACACGTGGCGCCATGCGCGTGTCAACACGGTAGGTGAGCAGCTTGGGGCAGCGAGCGACGAGGCGCGGCACATCGGAGGGCGGCAGCCCGATGGCGCGCAGATAGGCCATGCGCTCCCTTGCCAGCGTGGGGGACGTCTGGGGTTGGGGGGAAGGCGTTGGGGGGACAGGGGATGTGTTGCAAGGTATGGGGAGTAGAGAGGGGCGGATAGTGACACGAGCACGTGACAAGAGGATAGGCGTGACGTGTGAAACTCCCATTCTTACTAGCCATTCTCAACGCGTCCTTGCAACGCCCCTTGCAGATACCATTACGCCTGGTGGACTCACGGTGAGCAAGGCGCAGCGGGTGGAGGCGAAGCGCAGCAGGTCGGGCAGGCGGAAGCCCGCCTCCAGCAGACACGCCACCAGCGCCGCCTGCCGCCCCCTCCTCACCGCCTCCCTCCTCGACGCCGGCTCCGTCACCCGCACGGGCTGTGGGGGGCGGTGGTGGAGGGCGGGCGACAGGCAGGGAGGCAGTGCGAGTGCAGTGAGAGGGTAAGCTAGAAAAGTGGCATCTCGCGTACTATAAGGTGGCTCCGTGGCCGGGAGGAGCTGTGGGGGTGGGGTGGTGGGTGAGGGAGGATGAGGGAGTGGAGAGAGGTGCGGGTGGAAGAGCGTGCAGGTGGAAGAGCGTGCAGGTGGAAGAGCGTGCAGGTGGAAGAGCGTGCAGGTGGAAGAGCGTGCAGGTGGAAGAGCGTGCAAGGGCGTTGAGTGAGAGATTGGAGGTACATGCAATGGTTGAGGTACATGCGATGGTTGAGGTACATGCGATGGTTGAGGTACATGCGATGGTTGAGGTACATGCGATGGTTGAGGTACATGCGATGGTTGAGGTACATGCGATGGTTGAGGTACATGCGATGGTTGAGGTACATGCGATGGTTGAGGTACATGCGATGGTTGAGGTACATGCGATGGTTGAGGTACATGCGATGGTTGAGGTACATGCGATGGTTGAGGTACATGCGATGGTTGAGGTACATGCGATGGTTGAGGTACATGCGATGGTTGAGGTACATGCGATGGTTGAGGTACATGCGATGGTTGAGGTACATGCGATGGTTGAGGTACATGCGATGGTTGAGGTACATGCGATGGTTGAGGTACATGCGATGGTTGAGGTACATGCGATGGTTGAGGTACATGCGATGGTTGAGGTACATGCGATGGTTGAGGTACATGCGATGGTTGAGGTACATGCGATGGTTGAGGTACATGCGATGGTTGAGGTACATGCGATGGTTGAGGTACATGCGATGGTTGAGGTACATGCGATGGTTGAGGTACATGCGATGGTTGAGGTACATGCGATGGTTGAGGTACATGCGATGGTTGAGGTACATGCGATGGTTGAGGTACATGCGATGGTTGAGGTACATGCGATGGTTGAGGTACATGCGATGGTTGAGGTACATGCGATGGTTGAGGTACATGCGATGGTTGAGGTACATGCGATGGTTGAGGTACATGCGATGGTTGAGGTACATGCGATGGTTGAGGTACATGCGATGGTTGAGGTACATGCGATGGTTGAGGTACATGCGATGGTTGAGGGGTGATGGACAAAGACAGCAACACATGCATGAATACCCATTCACACACACACACAACAGACGCACGCCCCACATAGTCACACACCCACTCACGCACCTCGGACACACGAACACACCTCTACACACACGAGCCCACATACATCACACCCACACACACACACAACACCCATGACCCGCACCCCCCACACACACGTGCACGCACGCCCCTATGCACACGCACCCTGCCATGCCACCATGCACTCACCCCCCCTCCGCACTCACCACGCCCGCCACCCCGCCCAGCTGCATCAGCGCGGATGCATGCCACCCCTCGCCCTCGCCCTCGCCCTCGCCGCTGCCCACCCTGCTGCTCTCAATCCACTCCCCACTGCTGCCGCCACTCATCACCGCTCCCCTGCTTGCACTCCCCTCCTCCCCGCCCCTCGCACTGCTGCTTCCCTGCCAGTCCCGCAGCCGATGCTCGCCTTGCCCCTCATCCCTCTCTCCCGCCTCGCCCATCATCCCTTCCCCTCTCGCCCCCCCTGTGCTTCCCCATAACAGGCTCCTCCCCTCCGCCCCTTCCGCAAGGGACAGGGAAGCTGCAGAGGCGGGGGGAGCAAGGCGGTGGGCGGCGGGAGGGGTGGATACGCGCGGAGCATGGGCGCCCGCCCACCCTGCCTTGCCGCCGGCCCCCGCTGCTGCACTGCTCTCGCCCCGCCCGCCCTCCACCGCACTCTCCCCCGCACCTTCCCCCGCAGGCCGCGCTGACAGCCGCGGCGGCGGCAGCAGCTGCACGTGGCGCGCCCCGCCCTCCCTCTCGCGCGCTTCCCCCGCTCCACTCGCCCTCCCCGCCACCCCCCCGCCCGCCTCCTTCCCGCCGCCTGCAGCGCCCTCGCGTCTCTCCCTGTCCTTCTTCTCCCGCTCCTTCCCCGCGGCCCCCCGCTCGTCCCGCGTGCGCTCGTCGCGGGAGCGCGCGGCGAGCAGGAGGCGCTTCTTCTGCTGCACCATGGCCATGGCCTGCGCCTCCCACTCCGCGTGCGACAGCCGCGCAAACTTGCTGCTCGCCCCGCGCCCCGCTCTTCTCGCCACCTGCGGCCCCGCGGGGGCCTCCCTCGCCTCCTTCGCCTCCCTCGCCTCCCTCGCCTCCCTCGCCTCCCTCGCCTCCCTCGCCTCCCTCGCCTCCCTCGCCTCCCTCGCCTCCTTTGCCCCCTTCGCCTGCCTCGCCTCCTTGCCTTCTTTGCCCCCCTTGCCCTCATTAACCTCTCTCCCCTCCTTCCCCTCCCTGCCCTCTCTGCTGCGGGGCGGCGCTCTGATCCACCCGGAGTCGTGGTATTCGGGAGGAGATTCGGGGGAGTGCGCGCGCGAGGGCGGGGGGAAGGCGCCGTGCAGCGACGGGAACGGCTCGATGCCCGTGGCGCGCACGCGCTGCTCCATCCACTGCTTCAGGTCGATGCCGCCGCCGACGCCGCCGCCAGCGCTCGCATTCTCCGCGCCCGCCTCCCCTTTCGCGGTTTCCCCGCCTGCCCTCTCCTCTGCTGCGGCGCGCGGCCCATACGCGACAGGCGCGCGCCAGGACAGCGGCGGTGCAGCGGGTTGGGGAATGCAGAGGGGCATTCGCGGTGTGGCGGGTGAGAGGCGGAGAAACATGGCGGGTGGTGTGCCCGCAGCAGGGGGATGAGTGTACAGGGATGCGGGCAGCGATTGCCTGGGAGACTAGGAAAATACCGAGAGGTATGGAGTGAGGATACTAGGGTAGGAAAAAAGGCTTCGAGATTCTGCTTGAGGCAGTCGAGTTGCTTTGGCTTGGCGAGTTTCGTTCTCCTCGACTTGTGACCTCGCATCCTCGTTACCACTTGTTTGTTGAAATGAGTACAAGTTACTCATTCCGTCTATAGTGTAGTAAGGAAAAGTCATTTTCCTTACTTCGCGTACCTGACTATTCCCGCCAAGAGTACCCCAACAGTGCAACGTTGCCACATGCGGCATGCGCCCTGACCACTGTTCCCGCCACTATTCACACCGCACCCAACCCTTACGGCTCGGCTGGTAACCCGAGCTCCTGTCCTCCGCCTCGACAAATCCCAACTTAGGCGCCAGAACCGTCGCGCACCCCACATTTCACTCGTTACCGTTACCACGCTAGTCCGCTATTTATACTTCGCTCATCTCTTCGCTCAAGGTACTGTTTTGCTTCAATAGTGCTATCTTCGTTCGCCCACTCAATTGCACTCGTAGCACTTGGTATTCAGAGCCACGACCCTTTTTCGGACCGCGCCCGCACTTTCGCTTCCCACATTATCTCAAATTTTGGAGGGGTAAGCATCTCTCAGCGACCAAGCACCGCTGCTTGTGTGCTCTCTCGTAAGCATACACGGCCACGACTGAGAACCTCGCCGAGTTAGCCCGACACCCCCGCCATGGACGGAAACGGCGCATTCCGCCCGAAGGCCTCACATTGGCACGCCTCGATGAAATCATGCGCCAGTGCAGGAGTCGGTGCTTGAAATTGTTACGTTGACGCTGGAACGCGACTCCGCACTTCATGAGTCATCGGCGAGTGCACCAGCGCCAGCACCAGCAAATGCACCTGCGCAATCAGAAGAATCGATCGTCATAACATCGGGAACGCCATCGCAACACGACAGCGTGGGACAGCGCTCTGGCGCAATCAGTGATGCCGCCGCCCAATCCATGCCGGGCATGGAACGAGCCAGGGAGATGCCGTGCACAAGCACGTTTCGCGAAGCTCGTTCTCACGTCAGCATTGCGGCTCCTGTCAGCAACAACGACATCGGTGAGCCAATGTAGCTCAAGCCGCAACGCCCGCCCTGTTTCGATCCTAGCCAGTGTGGGGGTCCGACAGTTCAATTGTGGATCTTCCCAATGAACGTGTTTTTTTACGCGAACTACGTCACGTCGGATGCAGCGAAGATTCGGTAGACGTCTCCTTGCTGCGCGGGCTCGCCATGGACTGGTGGCGAGTTATCGTAACGTCGTCAAGCGCCTACGAGCCACTATCGCAAAGGGAAAGGCCCTCGGGGCCAGCCGTAAACTGGAGTTCGTTCTGCGAAACCGCCCAATACAGCACGTGGGACGCGTGGTGCGCAAGGCTTCGGGCGCGCTTCGAGTTGATCGCGGCTTCGATCTCAGCACGTCAGAAGCTGCGCACTTGGCGACAGCTTGGGTCAGTTCAAGATTACACCAGCGGTTTTCTCGCGCTGTGCGAGCAAGTCGGCTACATGCATGAAGCGAGGCGAGTGGATCGCTACGTCGGCGGCCTGAAGCTGGAAATCTCGCAAGGAATTATACTCCACGGGATTTCAAACTTCAATGAAATCTTGGCGCTCGCAGAGAAGATCAATATTTAACGTCGTCCGAGGCCGGGGTCCTAATACTACGGACATCGTACTCGGGGGCCGACTGAGCACGCCACTGTACACGTTGTTGCAACGAACGCAGCTGCCGCGCCGTTCAAGGGGCGCTGCTTCGCATGCAACAGGCCGGGCCATCGCTAGAGAGAATGCCTAGAGGAGCAAAGGCGCCGAGGAGCTGAGCAGGAGAGGGAGTCTGGGAGGCAGGGAAACGCCAACAGCCAGTAGAGTACGGGCCCACTACTGACGAGACTCACTGCTCGCCCGACCCCACTGACCCTCACCGAGTGACGGTACCGATTCACGCAATCGATCGGGCTCGGCTGAATAAGGAGGGTACAACGACAAATTGCCCAGTACTGATTCACGGGAAAATACAGGGGGTAGCAGTGAATATTTTTATTGACGAAGGAGCTAGTCACATCTTAGTTAATACCGCAACTACAAGGAAATTGCAACTGACACTTAGCCGCTGTCTACCGGAGATTGACGCACGCTTAGTGGACGGCACGCCGCTGGCTATACGGGAGAATGTGGAAATTTTGGATTTATATAGGAAATGCTCGCGACGACACTGGATGGGCACGGCATTTTACTGGGACGTGATTGGCTGCGACGCTACAACCCGCAAATTGACTGGAAGTCAGGCAGCTGCATTATGCGAAGCAGCGGTAACTGGGTCGCACTACCTCGCTGGCAGTCGCTTGAGTCTTCAACAGTCCACGTCAACGATATCACGACGAAACGGGCCGTCGCTTCGGGAGCTGGCGTGTATGCAGTAGATATCACGGAAGTGGGAGAAGCCGAAAAGCCGAGTGATTTTCAGACACTATTGGTAGCCGTACAGCCCGAACTGCAGGAGCTACTGAAAAGGTACCCCAGGATTTTTACCAACGACTTACCAGAGGGACTGCCACCTCAGCAGCATACGAACACCGCATACTGTTAGAACCGGAGACACAACCAACCGTACAACGACAGTTCCGACTGACACAGCCCGAGCTAGACGAACTGAGGAAGCAGTTAGATTATCTGCTGGAGGAATGTCTCAACCCAACGGGGTTCGACGGTGGTCGACGGCCGTCGACCACCGTCGACCTGACCGGCGGGCAGAAAAAAACTAAAACCCTATCGGATGGCATGCCATCCGAGGGAGGCATCAACCCTAAATCCATGCCTCCCCGTGTTTAGGGTTGATGCCTCCCTGACCGGATGCATGCCCGATAGGGTTTTAGTTTTTTTGCCCGCGGGCAACGAGCTCCGCCGGGCGGACTCGCTTGTCCGCTGAGCTATATTGTAAGAAAATGTTCATCCGACCAAGTTCGTCACTGTTCGCTGCACCAATACTGTTCACGCCGAAAAAAGACTGAGGTTTTCGCATGTGCATCGACTAAAGCGCACTGAACCGGGTAAAGGTAAAATCGCGATATCATATCCCTCGCGCTGACGAACTGGTTGACCAACTGCGAACATCTATGTTTTTTTCTAAAATAGACTTACGCGGCGGTTACCACCAGATTCGAGTCGAACCGACAGACAGCGCCAAGACACCCTTTAGAACTAGATACGGGGTTTTCAAGTACACGGTAATGCCGTTCGGGCTGACCAATGCGTCCGCGTCATTTCAGATGACCATGAACGAGGCGTTTAGGCCACTCTTAGACAAGTGTGTCATCGTGTACCACGACGACATATATTTTACAGCCGGGGCAGCAGCAGCTTTTAGCGGATTTGGAAGTAGTATTAAAAAATTATAGACGAACATCAGCTATTGAGAAAGGGTTCTAGTGGCCCTGGGCTGCAATTGCCCTGCCGGTCGTTGCCGTGACGATTTCATGAGTTGGCAGGTGGGACACGATGCGACGTGTCGTTGCACGTTAGTCAACATCACGGGCCAGTAGTAATACATCTGCAGTTGCTGTCGTGTTTTTTTCCCAAAGTTGTCAAACTATTATAATGTTTAGGTTGTGTAGGCTGTAGTGGGGTAGCCCATAAGGGGTACAACCCAATTAGGGTTAGTACTTGTACCAACTTTCTTCTCAATGCATTCATTCCCGTTCAGTATTCTGACATGGTTTCAGAGCAGGTCCTGTTCCAGGACCGTTTTTTTTAGGGCCCACCGTATAGTTCGCTTCCCGTAGCGCGTTACCCTGCCCGTAGCGCCCTACCCTGCCCGTCGCGCTGCCCCACCAGTCGCGCTGCCCTGCCCTGCCCGTCGCGCCGCCCTGCCCTGCCCGTCGCGCCTCCCTGCTGGCCGCGCGCTGCTCTGCCCTGCCCGTCGCGCCGCCCTGCTGGTCGCGTGCCGCCCTGCCCTGCCCGTCGCGCCGCCCTGCTAGTGCCGCGCCGCCCTGCCCTGCCCATCGCGCTGCCCTGCTAGCGCCGCGCCGCCCTGCCCTGCCAGCGCGCCGCCCTGCTTGCCGCCGCGTCGCCCTGCCCTGCCCGCGCGCCGCCCTGCTGGCCGCCGCGTCGCCCTGCCCTGCCTGCGCGCCGCCCTGCTGGCCGCCGTGCCGCCCTGCTGGCCGCCGCACCGCTCTGCCCTGCCCGCGCGCCGCCCTACTGGCCGCCGCCCTGCCCTGCCCTGCCCGCGCACCGCCCTGCTGGCCGCCGCACTGCCCTGCCCTGCCCGCACGCCTCCCTGCTGGCCGCCGCCCTGCCCTGCCAGCTGCGCCGCCCTGCCCTAGCCGTGCACCGCCCCGCCCTGCCTTGCGCGCTTCCCTAGCGCTTGCGCGCCGCCCTGCCCGTCACGCCGTCCTTGCTTGCGTGCTGCCCTGCTGCTCGCGCGCCACCCTGCTCTGCCCACTATGGCTACTCTCAGCGTCCTCTCATTCGATCCTGAGGGCCGTCCGATCCAGTTCGATACGTGGCTCGATGACTTACAGTTGTTCCTAATGAGCGATTCTAGAGACGGCGTTCGTTGTCTGACCTCACGTCTGGAGCCTCTCTCGCCCCTCCCGACACAGCTGACAGTGCGACTCGCTCACAGTGGCTTACCCGTGACGCTGCTACTCGCCTAGCCGTTCGCAACCACCTACCGTTAGCCGAACGCGCTCACTTTGGCCAGCACACGACTGCGAAAGCCCTGTACGACGCTGTAGTTGCTCGTTACTCCTCCCCTGCCACTGCTGCTCTCGGCCGCCTTATACTGCCCTACCTTTTTCCCGAGCTGTCCGCCTTTGCCACAGTCAACGACCTAGTCACCCACCTTCTCTACTTCATCGTCACCCGCCTCCCTGAATCTCTTAG